TTTTCCGGTGGAGGGTCCCATTCCTAGAGTTTCCTGCTCACCATCCTGTGTGATGTCACTTTCCTTGGGAAGTATTTTTTTTTTTTTTTGTCTTTTTCCGTGTCCGGCAACGGATCGCAACCCTCAGTGTTGCCCCCGTACCGGACCGGGGACCGGCGACGGGATCGCAAGCCTTGGCGTTGCTCCCGCGCCTCGCTCAGCCAGTGAGCGGGAGCCGGTCTGTACGTGGGATCCGAACCCTCGGACGGGAGCGCCGCCGCGCTTCCCAAGCGGCGCACTATCCAGTGCGCCACCGGGCCGGCCCTCCTTGGGAAGTATTTGACTGCAGATTCAATCTTCTTGTTTCACATCTGTACAATTTGTTGGCATATAGTTGTTCCGTGTATTCTCTTATAAACCTTTTCCTTTCTGCAAAGTTGACAGTAAAGTCTCTCTTATTTTTCTGATTTAATAACTTGAGTCTTCTCTCTTCTCATTGTCATCTTTGTTTCTGCCTTTTTAAATATTTTCATTGTAGGGTAAACAGAGATGACTTGTTTGGGGCCATTTAATGTTGGGGAACCAGCAGGGCTCGCATCAGTCCAGCAGCCTCTGAGAGTGCTACGCTGAGACCTTTAATTCAGCCCCGTCAGTGTCTGCTTCATTTGCCCAGTTTCTTAATAAGCATGTAAAGAGATCTGCCCTACTGAGACAGGTCCTTGACTACCCTCTTTGTCTTTCTCCCATCCTCTTGTGAATTCTTCTAATTTTCTTAGAAGCTGTGAGACCCATAAGAGGAAGCTGGGACACAAATTTGCTAATCCTTCTCCAACCATTCCTTGATTTTATGGCACTAATTGTACATGGGAGCCCATGCACAAGGGGACTCCGTAATCACAGCATCAACCATAATCTGGGTAAAGAGCTCATTAAATGGACAAATATCCTGATAATCATAAAGCCAATGCAGCACGGCATGCATGTGCGGCATATCAGCCATTCCATCTGGGGAGTTCCACCTGGCATTTAAAGGAGGGGAAGAACAGCACCCTTTGTCAAGTTAGAGGAACTTTACAGCAACTTTTGTCCAAACTAGCTGTCCCCTCAGAAATAATGTGCTGTGTGTATGTATCATGAATAGCCCTCTGTGATTGTTCAGTGGTGAGATATGGGTCCTGCATCAACCCACACATGCTCACCCATTCTGCAGCATTCAAAACCGAGGATATTGCCCCTAATGTGGTCACTCTCATGATGCCTTTTAGTAAAGGTTCATCAGGAAGCTGATGATACTGACCCCCAATGGGAGACTCCTACTTCACACTTGAACTTGTGGTTTTAGTAGTTTTTTGGTTTGGCCCTACCTACACTCAGACTACATTCTTGGTGACCAAAGGTTATAGGGTTCTGTCTGCTATCCCAGCATAATTTTTCCCTTTGGAAGCAACCCTGGCACAAGTAGCCATAACTCAAAACGTTGAAATCCAAGCTTGGTGCAGTGTCAAGGTCTAGCCTGACACTGTCCCTTATTTTCATTGTAGCTCATTACACATAACAATTTGTCTTCTATTACCTCACATATCCAATGTGCCAACCCCTTGGGAGTTGGTTCTATAGTTTCTAAGTTCCATAGGCAACCTTTACCGCTCATAATTGATTGCAGTACAGATGCTACGTCATACCATGACTGATGCAGTAAACATGCAGGAATGAAAGCTCTGTCAGTCCCCAACCCCATCCTTCCTTTTTCTAATCTAGGTTTCCGCCACATTTCAGAGAGTCATGGTCATTCTACTGAATCATACTTCTTTTTTTTTTTCTTTCTTTTTTGTCTTTTTTTCATGTCCGGCAACGGATCGCAACCCTCAGTGTTGCGCCCGCACCAGACCGGGACCGGCAACGGGATCGCAACCCTTGGCGTTGCTCCCACACCTTGCTCAGCCAGTGAGCGGGAACCGGTCTGTATGTGGGATCCGAACCCTCGGCGGGAGCGCCACCGCGCTCCCAAGCGGCGCACTGTAGCAGTGCGCCACCGGGCTGGCCCTGAATCATACTTCTAAAGCCAACTGTGTCAGGGGTCCCCAAGACCATCCTATGTTCAGTGATTTGCTAGAAGGACTCAGAGAATTTAGAACTGAGGTTATACTCCCAATTATGGTGTGTTACAGCGAAAGGATATAGATTACAGTCAGCAAAGGTAAAAGGACAGAGTCAAGGAAAGACACAGCACAGGATTCCAGTTGTGCTCTTCCAGTGGAGTCATACATTCAGTACTTAATCCTTCCGACAAGGTGTGATATGCATACACAGTGTTGCTAGTAGGGAATGTCAACCAAGCCCTGATGTGGTCTGCAGGGATTTTGTTGGGGGTTAGTCTTGTAGACATGGACGTCCGTATATTTCTTTGCAAGATACAAACACTACCCCCTCAAACATGCTAAATACACCTATTAATGCACGGGACTTCATTTAAAATAGATTCTCACGTTACAAGCTTCACGCCACCCACCACACACGAGAGGCCACCAGCTCAGGCAGCATCCATAACTCCTCTCACCTCACTTCATATGCAACAGCCCAAATAGGTAGAGAAATCAGGGAGGGCCAGGAAGTGATGGGCCTGGGAGAACAGTCAGGGCTCAGACATCAGACGCCAAAGCCACCTTGGGCTTCGGAGGGCCATTTCAGAGACATGTATGTTGAAGTTCAGAAGACGGCCACCCCAGTGCTTCTTTTGCCAGAGGATCCCCTACAGCATCTCTGATGCGTTCCCGCCATAGTTTTCATTAATGCCCTCATGACAGGGAGCTCCCCAGCTCTCAGCATTACAGGGACCTTGGTCTGTCCCCTGGACTGAGCCAAAGGCTGCCAAGGCCCACCCTCAGCCTCTCCAGAGTATCCACCTTGGTGGCCAAGCGTGGTGGCAGGAAGTAGTGTTCCTGTATCTGTGGGTGACAGACTGTCGATGAGACCAGACTGTGTTTGAGAAGATGTGGGGCCCCTTAAAGGAGGCAGCCGGGTCTGTAGAAACAGCGACTCGCAGATTGATTGGATAGTTGTCATTCATGGTGCTGAGTCCTGGGAGTGTCCGAGGCTGGGAACCAGCCCAGCCAGACCTTCCTCAGGAGGAGCTCCAACCCCCAGGCCCTTGCTCCTTGTTCTGCCTCTCAGAGGCCTCTGAAATGCACAAACAGGTGGGCCCTGTGGGTTTCTTGCTGCAAGGAACCTTCTCTCAAGACCTGGGGGGAACAGGTCAGCTGTGAAAAAAGGCAGGACACAGCCAGTGAGGGTGAGTGGCCTGGAGTTCCTGCCCACCAGGGGAGGTGCACACAAAGGTCAAGGCTTCTGGCTCCCAGGGCTTCTTCCCCACTGTCAAGAGGGGCGAGACTCCATTATTGGATGATTGACTGCTCACGGCATCACCCCTACTTCTTCCCTTGCCCCCCGTATCTGGACAAGCTGAGACTAACACTCTCATGCTCTCTCTCATGGCCTCAACTGGAGACTCAAACTGCCAAGCCCCTGCCCAGGTAAGCAAGCCATTACCCTGACCTATTCCCACCAAACACATAAATGGCAGCCATTCTCTTTCCTTGCTCTCTCACGCTTTGGACCTGCTGAGACCTCGGCCCTGCCATCTCTCGAGTCCCCAGGGATGCAAGTAAGAAACTTTTCATGCCACCCAGGTGTGTGTACAGTGTCATGAGTCCCGACACCCACACCACAGATCCACTGGGTGTCTCTCCCGCTTATGCAGGGTGGCATAACAAGAACCGGAAGATGTCCAGAGGTATAAAGAACACAGAAGTCTCAGTTTTAGGAATTCAAGTAGCAGCAGACTGCTCCACAGCACCCTTGAAGCTAGAAGCCAATGAGAAATGTCTTCAAAATTTGGCAGGAATATTATTTCCAATGTACAATTCTATACCCAGCCAAAACGTCAGTGACATATGAGTAAGGGCACTTGGAGATATCTTAGGTCTCATAAATGCCCCTTAGATGAGCAGTGAAATTATGAAAACGGCAGGAATCAGAAAAGTACCACTCCATAAGAGCCCTGAGGAAACTGGCAAAAATCATCAGACTCAACTTTTTCAGAAGTCTGCAAATTAACTAAAAGCTCCCATCTGCCCAGGAGCATTTCTTCAAGAAAAATGACTAAAGCGCCCAAGGGTTTCTAATGACCATCTGCTTACCCAAGTCCTGGGCAGACCCTCTGGTGCATTTAGGGAACAGCCTGGTTCACGTGAGTGTGGCCTGAGTGTGGGTGGTTTTGTCGTGTCATGTGTGCATGTGTGAGCATGTGGGTGTCTGGGAATGTATTTATGGGGAGGGCATTTGTGCAGGACCTGAAGGACAGCTTGGATTTTCCAAAGGCAAAGGTCTGAGCAGTGTGTGAGTGTGATTAGGTGTGTCTGTGTCTGTGCAGTGTGCAGTGAGGTGGACGAGACAGGTGAAGGGACCTGCCCCTTGGTCATTCTGATCATCATGACTTCCTAAGGCCCCAGGCAGTGGAGATGACAGACTCGAGAGGTGAAGGCCTCTCGGGATCAGGCAGAGGAGGGGAGAGGAGGAGAGGGTAAGGACATGTTCCAGGGCACAGGTTGTGACCACATTGTGGCTGTGGGCCTAGTGGGAGAGGTGGGTGGAGGGCGGTCAGACCATAGTTCTCCCAGGAGTCTGTACAGAGCTGGGGAGTTGAAGATATAAGAGGGCATTCTCTGCCAGGTCACCTCCACCGGCCTACCACGGGTAAGGCCCTGGAGAGGGCGACAAGGGCAAGGACTGCTGTAGCTGCCTCTGCACTTGCCCTGCCCTGCACCCTCTGATAACACAGTCAACACAGCGGGTTGGCTTGTGGCAGAGGGCAAAGGCCAGTCTCAGCTCCCTATATAAGGGAATGGTCCTGGCTAGGGGAACACTCAGGAGTGTGGTTGGAGTGTCTCTCCTCGGTCCTACGTGCCTGGTGTGGTGGTGGGGACAGGTGTGCCCGGAGGAGTCCAGTGGGCAGCGAGGCAGCCATGGGGCTGCTGACGGGGGATGTAGTGGTGCCCCTGGCTGTGGCCATGGCCATCTTCTTGCTCCTGGTGGACCTGATGCATCGGCGCCAGCGCTGGATGGCACGTTACCCACCAGGCCCCATGCCACTGCCCGGGCTGGGCAACCTGCTGCAGGTGGACTTCCAGAACACACCATATAGCTTTGGTCAGGTGAGGGAAGTGGTGGTGGTGGGCAGCAGAGGTCCTGGGGCTCGCCTAGCAGCAGACCCTGGGCGGCGGGTGAAGCCAAAGGCTGGACAGGGAGCTGGGCCAACATGAGAAAGCAGGTTTGAGAGGCTTCCTGGGGGAAGGCATCTGTTCAGGGCCTGACGGACACTTTGGAGGTTCCAAAGGCAAAGGTCTGGGCAGGCACAGGCCCGGAGGTGGGGTAGGACTGGGCAGCGTGTTAAGATCCAGTGGGACAGTCCTTAGGTTATGTAAGCCCAAAGTCCTTTCTGAACACACCAGAGGGAAAGGCCTTGGGAATGGGCAGAGGGGTCAAGGTCCTGAGCACCGTTTTAGTCAGGAAATCAATGTTGAGAGAGGTGCAGCGACCCGGTTCTTTTGCCGCTCTGGGTCCCTGGAACTCACTCCTCACCTCTGCAAACCTCAGTCTCCTCATCTGTAAAATGGATGTTAACTCGGACCTACTGACTATTTCGGTGACTCTCAAGGATTGTAGCTGGGTGGTCGTATCCAAAGTGAGTTCCTGAAAACTAAACTAAACAAAGTGAGCTCCTGGCCCATGGAGGATGTGATGTGACCCCCCCACCCCACCCCCACCCAGGGTGCCAAGGCCAAATCTCAGTCCTCGCACCAGCTTGCCACTGGCGGCCCCCGGGTCCCCCAAGCTCTGCGCGGTGAGACTGGGACGGGCAGTCTGGCGGGGACCCGGGCTTGACGGATGTGCTGACCCTCGCCTGCAGCTGCGGCGCCGCTTCGGGGATGTGTTCAGCCTGCAGCTGGCCTGGACGCCGGTGGTCGTGCTCAACGGGCTGGCGGCCGTGCGCGAGGCGCTGGTGAAATTTGGCGAGGACACCGCAGACCGCCCGCCTGTGCACGTCTACGAGCACCTGGGCTTCGGGCCGCGCTCCCAAGGCAAGCGGCGGCGGGGAGGGAGACCGCGTCCCGGCGGGATCCGTGCGGGCGGGGACTGGAGACGGGACAGGGCCTATGGGGAGCGCAGAGGTGGAACGAAGGGAAAAGCCAGAGCGCGCCGGGGTCAGAGAGTACAAGACGAGCCCGCCTTGGGGGCGGAAAACAAAGTGTGGGGGCGGGGCGGGGCGGGGGTTGCGAGTGGCCGGGGCCGCTGCCGAGAGGTGCAGGGAGCCGTGCGTGCCGGATCCGGGTCGGGGCCGGTGCCTTCCCGAGCTCTGAGGAGGTGACCCGGTGGTCGCCTGTGTTTGACGGGTTTAGAGTGGGCGGCGCCGAGAGTAGGCGGCGTTCTTCCCTGAGTGGAAAGATGGTCCAGGTGGGGCCGAGGTGGGGCCAAGGTGAGGCCAAGACCGGCCCCGGGCAGGAGAGAACAGGTGAGCAAAGAGCGGGGCCCGTACCCAGATGGAAGGGGTGACAGAGCAGGGGCTGGGAGGCTAGGACCTGGTTAGCGTGGGCGGGGCAGAAGTCGGCGGGGACCTCCCTGTCCTGAGACGGGGGTCGGCGCACAGGGCGGGGCCGTATTCAAGGAGGAGGGGCAACGATGCGGGCGGGGCAGAGTGGGGCCCCTAGGATTCGGGGCTGGGGCAACAGTGTGCGCGAAGAAGGGCGGGGCCGGGGCCTACCTGGTCACGCCCACCTGCCCGCCCCGCCCCCAGGGGTGATCCTGGCGCGCTACGGTCCCGCGTGGCGCGAGCAGCGGCGCTTCTCCGTGTCCACCCTGCGCAACTTCGGCCTGGGCAAGAAGTCACTGGAGCGGTGGGTGACAGACGAGGCCGCCTGCCTCTGTGCCGCTTTCGCCGACCAGGCCGGTGGGTGATGGGCCGAGGGGCACTAGCGTGGACGCGAAGGAGGAGGCGACCCCCTGACCGCATTCCCCGCTCGCAGGACGCCCCTTTAGCCCCACCGCCCTCCTGAATAATGCGGTGAGCAACGTGATCGCCTCCCTCACCTACGGGCGCCGCTTCGAGTACGACGACCCGCGCTTCCTGGAGTTAACGAGGCTGTCGCTGGAGGCACTGAAGGAGGACTCCGGCTTCCTGCGCGAGGTGCGGGGAGTGCAGGGCCCGGCGGCAGTCCAGACAGGGCGAGATCCGGGGAGGTGGCCCCGCCTGCGTCTGGGCTCCGGGAAATTTGTATTCGGGGGCGCTGGGGAACGGGCATTTCGGGAGAGGTCTCGGCAAGAGCAAAGGCCTGGAGGTGGGGAAGTCTCAGACAGCAGTAATGGGAGATGTGGGCCCGGGGTCAATGGGCCCCGAGAGAGGGCTAAGGAACCTCAGCTTCCTGTCCGCATTGAAAGCCAAGCAAGCCCATGACATTTGATGTTAGGTTTATCCATCTGTTAGCCTAGGGTCAGGAGAGGGCATGGAGGCTCACCATGTGGGGAGAGACCGGGTTGATGGTGGGGACAGGCGGGCCCTGGGTCCACCCTGGCATTGGTGGGACTATAGATTGGTCCAGGTGAGTGCTGAGCACAGGAAGGACCCAGGCCCCACTTATGTGGCTGTCACAGGTGCTGAATGTTGTGCCAGTGATGCTGCGCATCCCGGGGATGGCTAGCAAGGCCTTCTCCCATCAGAAGGCCTTTATAGCCTTCCTGGATGAGCTGGAGACTGAGCACAGGATGACATGGGACCCATCCCAGCCACCCCGAGACCTGACTGACAGCTTCCTGGCCGAGGTGGAGAAGGTGAGAAGCGGCTGCCAGACAGGGGCCAAGGGCTCTGGGTAGAGGGTCCAGATAAGGCATGAGTCAAGGCCAGCAAGGTGGGGCGGGCTTAGCACCCAGTGACAGGGTGCCTGGGTTGAAAGGTGGAGAACGGGAGGTCATTAGGGGACTTCCTCCCTGTGCCCTTGAGCTCACCCTCTCTGCCTGCCTAGGCCAAGGGGAACCCAAAGAGCAGCTTCAACGACGAGAACCTGCGCATGGTAGTGACTGACCTGTTCTCTGCTGGCATGGTGACCACCTCGACTACACTGACTTGGGCCCTCCTGCTCATGATCCTGCACCCGGATGTGCAGCGTGTGTCTGGCTAGGAGTCTGGAGGGGAGGGCGAGGAAGAAAGGTACAGACAGGGTCCCTGAGTTTAGTTTGAACACCTGTGGCTCCAAGCACAGTCTTGGCCCAGGCTCCTCTAAAAGTGACTCCTCTTTACATGGGCACAGCCCACAATTTAAGAGTTAGCAGAGGGTCAGGGCCCAGGCCCCTGGGTACTGACCACTATGGGGACACTTGTCTGTGCAGGCCGTGTCCAACAGGAGATCGATGAAGTGATAGGGCAGATGCGTCAACCGGAGTTGAAAGACCAGGACCACATGCCCTTCACCACAGCCGTGGTTCATGAGGTGCAGCGCTTTGGAGACATCGTCCCATTGGGTNCACACCATCACATGTCTCACACCACTTCACATGTGACACCCCCAACAGGTAGAGAAATCAGGGAGGGCCAGGAAGCGTTGGGCCTGGGTGAACAGTCAGGGATCACGCACCAGACGCCAAACCCTTCTTGGGAGGGCCCGATAGGAGTCCAGGAGCAAGGCACATTCTTGAGCCTCTGTCAACCCAAGGTATGATTAGCCACCTTCCCTGGCCCCTCAGGGATGCCTGTGTCCAGGCCCCTGCCAAGTGAAGAACTGCCACTCAGGGCCATGCTGNCCCTCCTCGGCCCAGCTCAATGCCACCTGCCAACTGGTAGCCCCTGCATGGCCACTGCTGGGTGGCCTCAGGACGGGAACCCAGACCACCCAGTCCTCAGCCACAGGCACTGACTGTGGCACCTTAGGTGGCTGTGGGATGCAGAGCAGGGCTGTCCCGGTCCATACAGAGCCCCCGTGTATGGGGAAGACAAACTGAATGTGCCAGAGTTTTGGAGGAGCCCGTATATGCAGGGATGGGGGGCGGTGAGGTTGCCCAGGAGAAGGTGCTGAAAGCTTCTTGGGCTGCGGGTTACTTCAAAGAGTCCAGGTGCGTGCCAGGTAGAGTGTGTGTCCGTGTGTGTTTGGTGGCAGGGGTCCTAGCATTCCCCAGCCCAGTCCCCACTCAGCCAGGAATCTCCTGCCCAGGGAACAACGCTCATCACCAACCTGTCATCGGTGCTGAAGGACGAGAATGTCTGGGAGAAGCCCTTCCGCTTCTATCCGGAACACTTCCTGGACGCCCAGGGCCGCTTCGTGAAGCAGGAGGCCTTCATGCCCTTCTCAGCAGGTGCCTGTGGGGGCCCAGCTCCTGTCCCCTTGGAGGGCATCTTGCAGGGGCATAGCCAAGGACCCAAGCTCACTGAGGCACCCCTTCCCCACCCACAGGTCGCCGCGCATGCCTCGGGGAGCCCCTGGCCCGCATGGAGCTCTTCCTCTTCTTCACCTGCCTCCTGCAGCACTTTACCTTCTCAGTGCCTGCTGGACAGCCCCCACCCAGTGACCATGGTCTTTTTGCTTTCCTGGTCACCCCGGCCCCCTACCAACTCTGTGCTGTGCCCCGCTAGAGGGAGGCACCAAACCCTCAACCCAG